TGGGGTAACAATCAGCACAATTCTCAATGTGGTAACAAAGACATAGTTCCCGCAGCTAATAAACAGCAAGGGAAAAAAGAGGAAAGGAGGAACCTAAAGATAAACCTACAAAGAAATGCAGTGGGTGGACCTTTCTTTGGATCCTGATTTAAACAAATCAACTGTTTAAAGACGCATTTATGAAACAACAAGGAACACCAAAACACTGTGGAATTTGATGACATTAAGGTAGAATTTTTAACATTTTAAGATGCAATAATGTTATTGTGGTTACACTTAAAAATAGAACCCTTATGCTTTAAAGATACAAACTGAAATATTTATAGTTGAAAAGACAGGAAATCAGGAAATTCACTTCAAAATAATTCAACAGTGGTGAATGGAAGTGCAGTGGGTATAGATTTGAAACAAGAGTCGCCATGAGTTGGTAATTGTTGAAACTGGGTGATGGGAACATGAGAGGTCATTGCATCATTCTTTCTACTCCATATTTGAAATTTTTATAATAAAAATAAAAGTTCAGAGGATAAAAAGATACACAAACTATTCTACTCTGACCAAACCTCCAATCTTTCCAGTTTTACTGCACTCTCTTTCCCATAATCTGTTCTTCCAACACAGGGAGACATCTGGTCCCAGCTACTGCCTTTTCCTTCCCCACTTTTTCCCGTGTCCCAAACCTCCACAACTCTTAGCCACCACTCAACACTCTTGCTCACTAGTCCTTCTGCTCCACAATCCTTGCCAAACCTCAACTAAGTACCAATCCTACCAACTGCACCTGGGCTCCAGGCTGCTGCTGGAGAAACCCTCGCCAGATCAGGGGAGTCCCTCTCCGCTGGCAGCCCTCTGCATGGCAAGGTATCCCCAGTCAGCACAGCACAATCCTCTCCAAGCCCTGTTCACTGTTCACAAGGAAAACAGGGCAGTCTCCAACAGACATGCCTCCTTCCAGCAGATTCACAAGACCCCTAATTATAACCAGCCCCCCTTAATATGGCAACTCTCTGCAGGGAAGTCCCAACTCCCCCTAATACTCCTGTCTTCACAACACTTGCTTACCACACTATGCTAGGCCTTACCCAGGCACTGCCAAGTGACAGTAAGTGACAATCAGATGGATATCCTGCCAGTGTGGCACTTCCATTCTAGGGGAAGATCTGGCTTCTGCCTCCAACACACCACTGAAATTATTTCTTTAAAGTTCAGAGGTGGCTTCCTTGTGCCAAAACCAGAGCCACGGAATCCGAGCCTGACATCTTCTCCCAACTGGACATGGTTTGCTGCTTCCATTTCTTGAATCCCTCCTTTTGTCCTGCCTCTCAAGATGCTTTTCCCCCCTCCTTCTCTGCCTGCTGCTTAAATTTGGGATTTTATAGCTCCCTCCCCCTGCCTTGTTCCCCTCTCACACTCAATCCTGATTTACAGTGGGGGAAGAGGGGTAAAGGGAGTGTGCCCAAGGCAAGAGTACCCACAGCTCAACAATACAGAGTGAGCTCGTGCAAGCCTCTCAACCCTATGACTCAGGAGTCTTTGTTATCCCCACCTTAGAACTGAGAACTGAGGCCCAGAGACTGCGCATCTTGCTCCAGTTCTGCAGCTAGGAAGAGTTGAATCAAATGGTCAAAGTCAACACGCCTTAAACTGATTGATCTCATCACTTTTCACCAAACTCACCTCTGTGAAACTGCACCTTTTACCTCAGGTAATGTTACCACCAACTAAGTACCAGTCATCTAAGTTAGAATGTTGGCATCATCCCAACTCCTCAACCTCCCCTACACCTACATCTGTGATTCTGTGAGTGAAACTAGAAGGTTTACAACAGCACTATTATGCCTAACATCCCTGGAATAAGAATATTAGCAAATCATGGATATGAACTGTCAACCACTGGTTCCAAGTCTTACTTGGTGAATGGCAGTCTGTGGGGTATGATGTGAAGGCTGATCTAGGTTTGCCATTTACTTAATCTCTGGTCATTTAGCCTCTCTAAGCTGAAGTTTCCTTCTCTGTAAAGCTGAAAAATGCAACTTGGTCAAAGGTCTGTAATAGCTGTTCCTAGTCAATTGTTGGTCATTAGTATTTATTAGGGATGGTTTATACAACAGAACTGTACTGCTGAGTCTGGGGGAAAAAACAAAGCTTAATCTTATGCTTCTTTTGTTCTTTGGGCTAATGATTAAATGTGGTTTTGTCTTTCAAATACCATTTAATTTTAAGAGACCCTCAAAGCCCTGCCAACAGTACCAAATAAACAGACCTTTAGTATTTTTTGGCAGTCTTTTTCTTGATACTTGTGGACACTTGCCCGATCTCTTTTTCTTGCTATATTTAATTGCAAAAACCAGCTTATTGACTAATGTCACTTTTGTGTTTCAAATGAAATCATACTTTTCATTTGTATTAGCCAAGGTGTTATCACAGATATTAATTATTAAAGCATATATAGCACCAATAATTACAAATCACTTAATATATATTTTGCTAAATTCTGTCTGTGGGCCTAGAAGCTGAGAATGTATGAGAAGAGCTGTACCAACTTGTAGACTAGGAGAGGCAGAATTCAAATTAGTGTCATTTCGTTAGCAGGAACTTATATAAGAGGGAAGACTGAAATGCTACAGAATTTTTAAATCAGAGGCGACAGAGAGGATCCTAGGAACATGAAAGAGGCTGAGAAGAACTCAGTCAGAAAGGTAAAACAATTTGACTGTCCCAATGTGATTTCCCTAAGGAATACCCAAATATACATACTCAAGCATTCTACCTCAAAGCTGTAAAAAGTGACTAACTTACAAAAAAAAAAAAAAAAGGTGGGGGTGGACGAAAAGCCCAGTTTTATAAGTTTTTTTTTTATTTTATTAAAAAAAATTTTTTTAAAGAAGTGTTATGCTGCAGAAATACACTATCCATTACAGTAATGACAGGATCTCAAATGTCTAAGAAAATCTCTATAGACCAGAAGCTTGGTTCTACAATCGGGGAGAAAATGAAATCTTCTGATACTTACCCAAGAACTTTATATCCTACACAGTCTTCTTTGGAGGGAATATCTAAAATAATGGGTTTTGTTTCTTTTACTCTCCAAATGAGCCAAGTGAGATTGGGAATATTACAATTTTAACAGTATTTTGGAATCTTTTTTGTTAAGGTAATAGATTCACCAATAAGCTTCCTCTGCACCCACAACAAAGTTTAGCATTTTCAAAATTTTAACACAACACTGACAGTCCCTTAACATTACTTCCTGCAAAATGGACATAAAAAAATAACCATATTACTTATCTGTTACTTTAAAGCCCTCTACCATTTCTACATCTTAAATGCATTTATCCTCCAATCTCTGCAAACTGTCAATAATCCCTGTAGTACCCACCCTAAAGAGCACATTCTTCAAGGCAGAGCACACACTATACTTTTAACATGCAAAACCATTAAGCCCACCAGATTCATTCATTCCAGAAATATTTACTGAGCACCTCTCATGTGGCCTGCACTGTTCTAGGCACTGGGGAAAATGGGAAAATTTCCTGCCCTCATTAAGCTAACATTTATTTAAGGATATGTCAGAAAATAAAAATAAAATAAATCTCAGAACATGCAGGAGCTTATAGATAGGGCAGAGTAAAGGAAATGAATGAGGGCAAGAGGGTGCTCTTCAAAGAAGCCCGTCTGAGGAGACGCCTTTTGAGCAAAGACATGAAGGAAGAACTAGATACAAAGATGTGTGGAGAGTTCCAAACAGCAGGAAGAGTGCATGTAAAGGGCCTGAAGTAGGTGCAAACAGTCGACAGACGAGCTGGACTGCAATTTCTCCCACTTAGGAGCAAAATCTGTTTTGTTAGTATCTGTATTTCCCCGACCTCTATCAAAAGATATGTTCAAAAGGAGTTGTTAAATACAGGCTGTTGACTACCTGCCTAACGATGGAACAAAATCACTGCCTATGGATCCCCTTTTCACTGTGAGCCTACAGTCTGATTTTTGACAGAACCCTCCATTGTTAAAGCATCCCAAGGCAGATGGGGCACGCCAGTTTCACAGATGATTAGAGACTTGAAACAAAAGCCCTCAGGAATCCAATACTTTCGGAATTAAAAAAAGAAAGAAACATCTTACTACGCTGATGGACAGTGACTAATGGGGTATGTGGGGGGGGACTTAGTGAAGGGGGGAGTCTAGTAAACATAATGTTCCTCATGTAATTGTAGATTAATGATACCAAAATTACAAAAAAAAAGTGGTCTGATAATGAACGGGACCAAGTATTTGAAAAACTAAAGTCCGTCCCAACCCTACTTCTTGCAGGCGCGAATACCCAGGCAACGAGGTTGTACTTCCAAACCTCTCAGGGCAAGGCCGGCGGCGAGGACTCCGTGCGGATGAGTTTCAACGTGCACAGCAGTAGCTCCGCCTTCCGTTCGTTAAACACTGGGCAGAAGGCTGGGGAGAGCACCCCTGGTCTCCAGCGGGCTGGCTCCTACTCGGGGAAACGTACACAGAACCGGCAGTCACCTGAGTGCCTGCCGGGCAGGTAGTAAGGGATGAAGAAAGCAGGGACGGGGGAAGACGGGAGGAAAGCGCGTGGGCTGTACCCTGTGGGCGACCGGCCGGCGAGGTACCGGAGCTGTGAAAGGCTTCGGGAGAAAGGCCGGTTTTCTCTTCCGGGAGGAAGAGTTTAAGGAGTATCTGGGGCAAAGAAAGCGAGCAGCGGGAACGGGATCCTCAGGCTGACAGAGCCGCGGGGAAGGCGAGCGCGGCGCTCCCTGACGACGGCCCGGGGAGCAGGAGCGGGGGGCGGAGCTGGCACCACGGGAGCGCAGAACCCGCCGGGCTCCGGCCGCGCTCCCGCGGGCACAATCCGTAACGGAGGCGCCGGGGGCTCCGACCACCGCCCGGACGCCTTCCGGCTCCGCACTGTCCCTCGGGCGGGACCTGGGAGCCGGGCAGAGGGCTGGCCGTGGAGCCTGGGCGGCTGCGGGAGGCCGCGCACTTACCAGGGGCCTGGGAGCGCGGGCGCGGCTCGGGCCCGGCGGCGAGAGAGAGGGTGTGCAGCTCCCGGCGCGGGAGCGCGGCGGCAGCGGCGAGGGCCACTCGGAAAAGCCAGCTACGAGGTGAGCCGCGCATAGGTAGTGTAGTTGGCTCTGCCTGGCCGGGGCGCTCTCGCGGACTGTCGGACCGCCGGGCTCGCACACGTGCCGCGCAGCAACGCGCGGCTGCCGGGAGGCCCCTCCCTTGGGGCGGAGCCCGGACCGCCAGGGCCCCGCCCACTTCCCGCGGCTCAGTGCCGGGGTGGGGGTGTCCTCTTCCGGAGGCCTAGAGCTTGGCCCTAGTGGCTTTGTGGGCTGCGCGGGGCGGGAGGCTCCCAGTCTCTTAGGCTGTTGCACCTGGGCTTTGGAGAGGACAGAAAGTAATTTGATCATGCACCAAAGAGTCCTTTAAACGGTCTTTAGGACTTTTAAAGCAGCGGTTGCCTTACGAATGTGTAAGGATTTCTTCCACGTGGAGTAGTATGTCCCTTTTTCGTTGCCCTCCACCACGCAGTTAATAATGAAGAAAATCACTTTAGGACTATATTGTTATCTATAATTTCTAATGCACCGGATCCAAGAGCACCATTTTCCCACTTTTTTGATTTACCCCTCCTGCTTGAGAGCTCCCAGTAGGATCAAGGGCAAATTTGTGCTATGTAAAGAAAAATAAAATTCATCACTCTTCTGTGCTCTTCGAGCACACACATTTCCCTACCAAATCCCGGCTGTAGTAGTTTTTGCAGGTTTAATACTTTGTCAAATTTCGTCCCGCGTGAAAAACCAGTACTGTGTTATTTCAAGTCCTTGTATTTCTGCTAGACTTAGTTTTTTTTTAATTGCAGTAAAATACACACAAAATTTACGATTTTATTTTTAAGTGTACAGTTTTGTGGCATGAAGTACATTCACATTGTTGTGCAACCATCACCAGCATCCACCTCTAGAACTCCCTTGCAAAACTGAAACTTTATATCCTTTAAACAACTTCCCACTCTACCCTTTTCCTAGCCCCTGGCAATCACCATTCTACTTTTTGTCTCTATAAATTTTACAATTCTAAGTAACTCACATATATGCTCCTTCGTGACTGGCTTATTTCATTTAGCATAAGGTCCTTGAGATTTATCCATGTTGTAGCATTTGTTACATTTTCCTTCCTTTCGAAGGCTGAATAATACACCATTCTATGTGTACACCACATTTTGTTTACTCAGTATCACTGGATTGCTTTCATCCTTTGGCTATTGTGAATAATGCTATGAACATGGGGGTTACAGGATATCTTTGAGACCTTGCTTTCAATTTGGGGGGTGGTTATACCCAGAAGCATAATTACTGTATTATATGGTTATTCTATTTGTAATTTTTTGAGCAACCCACATACTGCTTTCCATAGCAGCTGTAGACTTGTTTTTAAAACCTGGGATTGCATGTGGGGATCTGGTTAACTGAGTATAGATAGTTTGCTTAAATGGGTGGGGGTTCTGTACTGCCTTCTTCTCAGATTATTCACCTCAATTAAATATAGTACCTTGGATAGTTTTCTGTCCTTCTGCATTACAATCACATGTCCTTGGGCTACAGTTAATTTGTAGTTTAATGCCTCAATGACAGCAATAGCAAATATTTTTGCCATAGCCACATGGTAAAAATTCAGTCCTGAACTTTCAATTTTTGTGTACTTTAAAAAGTATCTTCTTTGAGATTGTGACCCCTGAGATTGTTTCATCATAAACATACATGAAAGAGAGAATGTTCACATTTCTTTGGCCATTAGTTGGGTCCATGGTTAAAATAACCCTTTTTGCATTTCAGCCAAAACTGCATTAGACAAGCAAGGTCGAAATGAAACATACATTTTTAAGCTGTTTTCCAAAATGGCAGCTCTTTACTGGCTTTTATAGTTACAATAATACAAAGTGTTCAGAGCTTCTCCTCCATTACAATTCCTTCTGATAACCATTTAGTGGTTTAATGTCTCCTTGACTTTAAAATTACATCCTAACATATATATTATGTATAATATATGGGATTCTGCTTTTAACTCCACACCAGCATTACGGATTGCTAAATGCCTAGCGCACACAATTTATCTCGTTTCATCCTTACTGTCTAGTATTCTGTCCATCTTACATGCGTCTCTCTACTCACCATCTGCTGGTTAACTGTTTTCTGTGCTCCCTCAGCCATTGCAGACATTTCTATTGTTGAGCCAGCTGCACACAATCCTAAATGATTTATTTTCATGTCTATTTCATGTACCAGAAACTGAATTCTTCAGAAGTAAAACTTTGGCCTTACAGCAACCTTTTCTATCCTTTAATGTTATCTTTCATTGTTATGGGAGTTATACATGTCTGTGATTTAAGGTAAAAAAATTCTGTAGAAACCTTGTACATTTGGCAATGAAAGGGCAGAGCCTGTGTACCTACCCCTCCCCTTAGTTGTTTCCCCTCTTTCAACTGGTTATTTTGACGTTTACTTCATGTCTACATATAAAATGTTTGTATTGCTATTTCTTGATTTTTTTCACCTTCAGGCATTCCCTATTGACTTCACTTAATAGAAAAGAAGGATTTAGCTCTTCTTCCTTTCCTCCACCAATCCCTCCCTCTGCCACTTCCCATCCCTTTATCTGGCCAATATCATTATAGTGTCCTTTTTTAAACAGATTTGTATTTATTTCATTATGACTAGGTGAACATTACTCATATCTTGGCAAAGGAGTATGGTATTACTACTTCTCTTCTCCTGCTCAGCTTTTTGTTTTTTTCTGAGGTTAATAATTATCTTATTATGTTTTACTAAACCAAACCCAAGCTTCTTAATGATTGCTTAAATCTCTCCTTCCTGAGATTTAAACAGATTATTGTTCTTTCACTTTCATCTTTCTGAAGGAATCTCTTCTGGAACCTTCTGACCTGCACCAATCCATGTTTAGTGCACAGATGTTGTCAGGGCATCTCACTTCATTTTTCTCGTTTGTTGTATCCTCTGTTTCCTATATCCTATGTCTCTTTCCTTTGGTTAGTACCTCATTTTAGTGTAGTACAACCTCCAGTAGCTTCCTGAGGATGAAGTAAATGAAAGGAAAACTTTTCAATTCTAGAATCTTCTTTACCCAACTTGATTGGAATCAAGTATAGAATTCTAGTTTGAAATAAATTTCGCTTTGAAATTTGACAGAATTGCTCCCATGTCTTCTATTTTTCTTTGTGACTGCTGAGAAATTGAAAGGCTGATTCTTTTTTTTTTTTAATTGTACAAGCAAATTTATAGCAGCTTTGTTCACAATAGTCCAAACTAGAAATAACCCAATTATCCATCCATGGCAGTCTGGTCACACACAAGAATAACACTCATCAATAACACCAAAATAATACACTCAACAACATGGATGCATCTCAAAAACATTATGTTGCATGAAAAAGCCAAATGCCCCAAAAAAGTATATTCATTTATGTGAATTTTAAAGACAATCAACACTAATCCATTGAGATAGAAATCAAAATGATTTTAACCTACATACATATATGTTTTTGTTGGACCATTTTAAAGTAAGTTATAGATATCATGATCATTGAACCCAAATACTTAGTATGCAAATGACTTTATCTCTTTGAGTATAATTTATGGACTACCAATATTCCTTAATTCAGTCCTTCAATCCATGAGACTGGGGTTACCAAACTTTTCTATAAAGTGCCAGAGAATAAATATACTAGGTTTTGTAGGCCATATGGACTCTGTTGCAACTGCTCAACTCTGCCATTGTAACAGAAAAGCAGCCATAGATAATACATAAATGAATATGCATGACTGTATTCTCCTAATTATTTACAAAAACAGGCTGTGGACCAGGCTTGTCAGCAGGCCACAGTTTACTGACCCCTACACATAAATCACAGTTCTTTTTCATGCTCAGATTATCACAACTCATGTGAATGGGAATTCCTTCAAGCTGGCTATGTGTCTTTGAAAAGACTGTAATAGCTTTTTAATGAATAACTGCTTTCTGTCCAAGATTTCCCATGCTCACCGTGTAATTCCTTTGCACTATTCCTGGAAGTATTTTTTTCTTTCTTTTTTTTCCTATTTAAGTATCATTGGTATACAATCTTATGCTGGTTTCAAATATACACCACAGTGATTCAAGAGTTACCCATATTATTAAATCCTCATCCCCTCTAGTGTGATCACTATCAACGTAGAAAGATGTTACAGAATCATTGACTACATTCTCCATGCTGTACTATCGTCCCTGTGACCAAACATATTGTGATTGCAAATTATTATTGTGCCCTTTTATCTCCCTCCTTCCCTCCCTGCCCCAACCACTCCCTGTTGATAACCACGAGTCACTTCTTAGTGTCTAAGAGTCTACTTCTGTTTTGTTCCTTTTGTTTTGCTTTGTTCTTATTATTCCACAAATAAGTGAAATCATACAGTATTTGTATTTCACTGCCTGGCTTATTTCACTGAGCATAATACCCTCTAGCTCCATCCATGTTGCTGCAAATGGCAGGATTTCTTTTCTTTTTATGGCTGAATAATATTCCATTGTGTAAATGTACCACATCATCTTTATCCATTCATCTACTGATGGACACTTAGGTTGCTTCCATGTCTTGGCTATTACAAATAGTGTGGTAATAAACATAAGGGTGCATATGCATATATCTTTTCAAATCAGGGATTTTGTTTTCTTCCAGTAAATTCCTAGGACTGGAATTCCTGGGTCAAATGGCATTTCTATTTTTAGTTTTTTGAGGAGCCTCCATATTGCTTTCCACAAAGGTTGAACTAATTTACATTCCCACCAACAGGGCAGGAGGGTTCCTGAAAGGCTAATTATTGATCCTTTGTAAGTGATCTGTTTTTCTCTCTGGAAGCCTAAGGTTCTCCTTGGCCCCAATGTTCTGCAATTTCACAGTAATGAACCTGGGCATGAGTCAGCTTTTATCCATTGTGCTTGGGAGCTCAATGGGCCCTTTCAATCTGAAAACCCCTGACTTTACATTTGGGGAAATTTTCTTGAATTATTTCTTGGTGATCACTCCTTCCCTAGACCCTGTTGGTTTTTCTTTTGCTAATCTTATTTTTCAGATTTTGGAACCCCTGGAGTTATCCTCTAATTTATTATATTTTCCTATATTTCATTTATCTATCCTTTTGCTTTTTTTTCCCCCTAGGGTATTTCCCAACATTCATCTTACACTCTTATTAAACTTTTCATTTCTGCTGTCGTTATTTCTTATCTCTGAATCCTCCTTTTAATACAGTATCCTTGTTATTGTTTTATGGTTGCAATGGTATCTCCTATCTCAGGATATTGATTACATATATGTACTTACTTTTAAAAATTGTTTTCTTCTCATTGAAGGTTTGTTTTCTCTAAGGTTTGCTCCTCCCCGTCCTCCAATTGTTGTAGTCGCTATGGTACCACCTCCCAGGTTTGTTTTTGAAGTTGTCAAATCCCTGAGCCTTCTGCCTCTTGCCAGGTAACTCCTATTCCTCCTCCCTGGCAAAGGATAGGTGATTTGGGATCTCTGCATTGGGTAAAGTGCATAGTACACGCTAAGTCCTTTCCCTCCATTCAGCTCCCAGAACGGTAGCAACCAGACCTGCGCCCTCCAGGCAGGAAATTGGAGGGTCATCTCTAGTTGAATCTGATCAGCCTTAAAAAGAAAGATCCAAAGATAATAACATTGGGAATTCTCCAACTACACAACGCAGCCAAATTACATTAAAGCTAGTCAACAAGCCCCCTTATTCTTTCAGAACCCCTGGAATATTATCTAAAATATAAATTGAAATGATTCATATTGTCTTTATGGTGTGGAGGGAGGGATAGGCTCCAGCTCAAGGAGTTTTCCCAGAGGCTGAGAAGGATCGCCCCCCTTCCTCGGAGTCTGCGGGTGGGAGCCCGCTTCCAGAGCCGCAGACCCTGCCCCCTGCCGGCAGGGGGAGCCACGGCTCACGGCCGGCGGCCGCGCAGGCAGGGCCTCGCTGGGAAGAGAGGAACAAACCAGAGAGACGGCGAACGGAAGTCGCGGTGACGGCTCCGCCTACAGGCTTAGAGGCAGAGCCGGTAACTGGTCGGTGGCCGCGGCCAGATTCTGTAGGCCACGCTGGCTGCTCCTGTGGCGGAGGACTTGAGCGGAGGCGGGATGCTGTCGGCGGGCGAGATCGGCGAGGTGCCGGCAACCCCGGTGAGGCGACCCTGGTGGCCCGGAGAAGGGACTGATGGCCTAGAGAGGTGGCACAGATCTTCCAGGGGAGATTGCCTCGGCGAGGTAGCCCTGGCAGCCCGGAGACGTGGTTCCCGTGGCTCCGGGGTAGATGGCTCTTGCAGTCCTGGTGAGGTGGCACAGACCTCCCGGGGAGGCAGTCCCAGGGTGGTGACTCGGGCGATCCAGCCACCAGATGACACAGATCTCTCTGGGAAGGTGGCCCTGGCGGCTGGGCAGACTAACTCCAGCGGTCTGGGAAAGTGGCCGTGGTGGCTGTAGAGAGGGGCCCTTTTTGGAACCTGCATCAGATAGTCCTGGCCCCTCAGGAAAGCCCCAAGGGAGGGAAGGGATCTGGACCCTCGCAGTCTTCCAGCGGGTGCCCTCTGGGAACCCTGTGTGAGTTCTATCTGCCACTTCAATCTTAACGTTTTTGTCACACCTGTTCTCCTAGTGCTGCTCTGAGAGTGATGACGAAAGGAAGAATATCGAGGAAAAAAGTAAGCAGATTCCAAACACTTTAGCGCTTATTTTCTACCCTTCCATTTCCAAAATTCATCCTTCTGGGGTCTGCATTGGAGAAGGGTCTTAGCCTGTTATCTTTTACATGCAGTATCTTTTTTTTCTGTACAGTATGCTGGCCTAGAATTAAATATCGATTATCATTAGACATATGTTTTTGTCTTTCTAAAATGGTAAAATATGGAATGTTTTGGAAACAAGCACTGCCTGACCCGCCTGACCCTCACCTCATGCAGGGATTGGTGTGCTATCACTGGAGTTCTGCCCGTCATACCAAATTCAGAGTAACTGGACCCTGCCTGTTGTTCAAAGGAGGCATCAACGTATTAAGCATCAGGAATTTGGAGAAACTGATGATCTAGGAGAGATTACCATTATCTTAATTGGGTTCAAAGCAGTCAAATGATAATTCTTTAGTTGTACTTTACCTTCAGTGAATTTGCAATTAAAAGTTTATCTGGGAAGAGTACAATGGATAATGGTCCCTGGGTCTTGGACTGGACAAGGAAGAAAGAAAAGGTCAATAGGTCCATTTCCTGCCCAGGACAGGAGCATATGTCAGAGGTGTGGCCACTTGTCATTTTTCTTTAATGAGTAAAGCATGGCATGCTTTTGGAAATAAGAGAATATTCAGGGGCTTCTGAATTGAAACTTATTGGGGAAGAAAGTGGAAAAACATGTATTCCTTCAAAGGGTTTTTGGTTCTTCTGACCATGGGGATGAGTAGTAAGAGAAAGTGTACCCATGTTATCAAATTGGCTTTAGGATATAGGCTTGCCTTTAACATTGCCTACTGATCCAGTCTGCCTCAGAAAAAAGGCTGTAAGTAGTCCACAGCACTTGACAATCATAGCCTCCACAACTCGCTCCTTTTCCTTGAGGAGCTTGGAAGTCCCCCATATCTTTCAGTTAAACCCTTCCCTTTCCACCTTTGCCCATACAGATACCTGGGAAGTTGATGACTGAGCTGTCATTTTAGCAAATGATAAATGCAGAGGTAGACTTTATCCTTGTCCCTCCTTAGGTGGCTCATTCAACTTCTTTGCAATTAGGAGTGCTCTTTACAAAAAACAGGGTAAAGGAGACACATAAAAGCCTCCCAAATCACCAATGTATCATTTTGAAGAATGTCATTTGACTAAGAATATACTATGTTGCATTTAAATGGTTATATCAAAAGAGCACAGCTTTTTTTTTAAGTAAAGATAGAATTTACTCCCTAAGCTACAGTAGCCTTAACATTCACAAAACATTCCCTCTGCACATAGCCCTGCTTCTGTGTGTCTGCAGATAATGCCACACAGCTCACTTGTTTTACTTAAGATAAATATAAAAAGAAGACAGGGTGACTCCTATACGTAATAGCAGATGGATTTCTGCACTAATGAAGTTTGGTACAGACCAGCCAATTCTGATTATATTTGTAGAAGAAAATAAGAAAAGAAAAACAAAGAGTTAGGAAGCAGGGATATTAGTCCCATTTGCAACATTTAAGTGTAAGCTGGGCAAATATTGTAATTTATAGTTGGGAAATTGAGGCATAGACTTAATGCTAATTTTTGTTTCTACCTAATAGTGGGCTGCTAGTTCTCAGCATATGAACAATTCTTATAATAGAACCAAGGAAAATTTGTTTTGGAGAGGGCAAGGGGGTGGGTGTGAGGAACATACCCAGCACTAAACATACATGGTATATGTTGTTAGTCTTCACATAAATAATTGAACAATGGCTAGTAGTTAACTTTTGCATTTAGGCATATCTTTATCTAGCTATTTATATTTTCATTTTATCAGAAGTGTCATTTGTTTTATAGTGAGGCTGATTATAACCTCTTGCCTTTCTTCCATTGTGGTTTTCTTAAAACTCCATTTTTGGCGAAGAGCCAAGTTCTCCAAGGGCAGCTCCAAGACAGAGGTGAAGGGTGAAGTCCAACCAGTATTGCTCCCCAGGAGGCTCTGTCTTGTTCCTGTAGCTTTATCTCTCATGCATACATTCTTTCTTTTCTTTTCTTTTCTTTTTAAGAAATTGCTATAGTCCTTGTAGCTAAACAAAAGGCTTGTTTAGAGAGAATCAAATCCTTCAGGCAAACCTGAAGTAGAGAAATAGACTGTATGTTCAGGTTTATTCTAATGTTTACTTTCCACTCTCTCTTTGTAGGGTCTTATAGCATTTATTTTCATTTGGAGATCAATGGCTGCTGCTCTTACATTTTTACATTATCTTTTGTTTATTTTTTTTTATCCTTGGGAAATACTCAAATCTAGGAAGATAAAGCCCTGTAGGTAGAATAACTCAAGTTGTGGACTGAGTAGAGTAGAGCATTTTTAATAGCAGGGAACTTAATGACTGCTAGTGAAATGGACTTACCATTATGCCACGTTTGATGCAGACTTCAGGTTTCCTAACCTTCCCCAGGAAGAAAGAAACCATAATTAACTAGAAGGGCATAGTTCATCCTTGGAAATAGGTCCTTCATAAAGGGGAACAGTTTATCTTACACAGTGGGGTGTAGAGGAAGGAGAGATCCCTCCTACCTCCTTTGCCAGGAAGCTGCTGTGGATCTTCAAGCTTCCCGTTCAGAAAGCCACCCCTGGCCAGATGGTCAGCAAAGGCACAGCTAGGGATACTCTGGAAAAAGAGGGGCAGTGCTTTTGGTCCACAGTGGAAAATAATTTAATTGCCTTTGAAGTGGACTAAGTATTTACTAGAAATCTATTTTCATTTTATAAGTGCTTAGTTTAAATAAAAATTGAAAATTTTTTATATATTCAAATCTTGCCTCATTCCACAGTTAGAGGTGACTTAAATTGCTTAATTATGTCTTAAACATTCTGGATAGTGCAAGAAGGTTTAGACCCTTGCAGAGTGAGAGAACTGACTTGTAAAATACAGGAAATGATCAATGTCAAGCACATAAGTAATGGGATGAGAGTAAAGCTACTCTGTCCTTTGTTCACTGGGCATTGTTTGCTGTTATCCTAAATGCTGCCTCTGCCACCACTTTCCTCAAGAAATGGCTCCATGGTTCCAAAGCACCTGTTTTTGCCACTTTTAGTAGGTGCAATGTGAATTGGCCCAAGTCTAGTTTATTTGCCATGGGAAGAATCTCACTGTAGACTGGATAATTTAGTGGTTGCACCAGCCATTTTGTGTTTCTCTCATTGTTCTTTTTTTTCTGTTTCTGACATGGACATCTTTGTACAATGGCATTTGAAGCTTTGAAACTTTTTTACTCTTATATAAGGAGGTGTTTTTACTCACTTGGTAACCCTGTCAGAGTTTTTCATATATTTGAAATTTTACAATACTATATATATATTTAAACATTTTAAGACCATAGTCTTCCTTTGGTGTTATTCTAGGCCATACCATTTGGTTCCTTAAAAATTTTGAAACTGTATTACTAATCTAATAAAACCTCTCAATAAAATCGGATTTGACCTTTTTTTCCCCAATAATAAGATAGATTAAGATAGAAGGTTTTCTGGAAAAGTTTAATATCTGTCTGTAACTGCATTGTCATGCCAACATCTATTAAAATCTGTGGTTATTAGAACAGACTAGGAATGTTTCCTTTACTATGAATTTCCTCGGCTCTTAGTACTTGATTGGTAGATTGCTTTATACCTATTCATTGGGTATTTGTGTGTATTTACATACATGTATATATATGTATATATACATACTATATACACACAAAGTGCCCAAATTAACGTATATATGTATATTCATATACATGTACACATGCTCTACAGGTATTTGTGTATCTATAGTATGTATATAGATACTATTTAACTTTTGAAGGTAGATATATTGCCTTGTATATCTTTTGTATTTCCTTTAACCCCATAGTACTTAGTAGTATTGAGTAATTGTTATTCTTTAATTTTAGGTGACATAAATATTGAAGCTCTTATTGGAAATGAACAAGTCAGAGAAGGTACCAATAATGGTGATCTCCCTTCCTATGTGTCTGCATTTATAGAAAAAGAAGTTGGAAATGACCTTAAATCTTTAAAAAAACTTGATAAACTCATAGAACAGATGACAGAAAGTAAAATGCAGTTAGAAGAACAGGCAAGTATTAAACTCATTGAAATAATATCAATAGTATGCTCATTTTAGTTAAATGTAATTTAGATATAACCATTATTAAATAGAGAATTTCGAATATATAGAGTGTGACAGTCTGATCATTTTAAACTGTCTAATAGGTTTTAAGAACCTACAGTGTGTTAGGTATTATACAAATTATATAAAAGACAAAGTTTCTATTGATAAGATTTGTTTTGAAAACATAGCTATAGCTAACATTTTAGATAGCATTTCACACAATGACTTTAAAATGCTCTACAAGTAACTAATTTCATGGTATACAAAAATAACACCACCATTCCAAATTTTTTATATATGCACTCATGGGGAGAGAACATGAAAATAAGCAACACAGTATGGTTATTTCTGGGTGGTTAGTTAACAGGTGATTTTTTTTTTCTTTGTATCTTCTGGTATTTTCACATTTTTTCTTTTTTACAATGAACATACTAAGATAGTTGTAAAAAAAAACAGTCAATGCAGAGAAGACAAGTAATGACTCTATAGCATCCTACTATGCTGATGGACAGTGACTGCAATGGGGCGGCGGGGGGTGGGAATTGGTAATATGGGTGAATGTTGTAACCACAGTGTTGGTCACGTGAAACCTTCATAAGATGGTATATCAATGATACCTTAATAAAAAAAAGAATAAAAAAGATAATACCACATTGTTTTCCAAAATGTTTGGAAGAGACAAGAAATGTCATTAATTCACATCTTCTCCAATACTTGGAACTGTCAAACTTCTCCTGTTTGTCAATGAAATCAGTGTAAAAAAAAAAACAGTGAATGTAGTCTTAAAAAAGTGGGTCCCTGTACTGGCAACGGTGTATTTGTCAGAAATAAAGGATTTTTATCGTGTAGCTGCTAAATTGGGTTAAATATACTTTTCTCTCCCTAGCACTATAGTCTCCCTGTCTTCCCACGATGTCCAACTGCTTGTTTCTAAGTGTAGCCCAGCCCTGTCCTCCTTGTCCTCTCCCAGAGGCCCATGGGCTCTCTTGGAGGAAAGGACACAGCTGAGTGAGGGACACCAGCCCACATGGGTGGTTCTCAGCCCTACCTGGCAGTCCTGTGGGATGGTCGGCTTCTCTGCTACTCCACTCAGCCATTCTTCCCAGTTCTCCCCAAGACACCTACCCGAACTAGCCATTCTGTCCTTTCCTTTTTCCAACCAGAAACAAATAGAGGCCATCAAGTGGGAATCCAGTGAACAGTGTACCCCATACTCCACAAACTCATTTGCATCCATTTCTACTCCTAATTCAGCAGAGGATCAATCTAAGGTAGTTGTCTTGCCCCAGGCCCTTCCTTCTACCTCTGAACTTACTTAACCCTTTTATATCTTTATCCTCTGCCCCTCAGTCCTGTCTCCCTAGCATAGGGACACATCCAGATCTCTTTCTGAAAACCTGAACAAACAACTTTCCCCTCATCTTTTAGTATTAGTTCCTTCTTTTACTGTTAGACATTTTCAAAAAGTCACCTTATTTTGTAACCATCTCTACTTCCTAATTTGCCATTTGCTCTTGGCCCCTCTGTAATCACGTGTGTTTTCCTGATGACCATGGAAGCTTTTGGTAAAATTCCTAATGGAACCTGAAATTCAGCATATCCAAAACTGCCCTAATCCATTTCTTAAAGTGCTTCACTGTCTTGAAAAATGGCAGTACCATCTGCCTGTCACTCAGACTGGAAACCTAGGAGCCTTTGTAGGCAGTCCCCTCATCCCCATCCTTCCTCTGCTTTCCTCACCCAGACCTCTTGAGTTCTGCTTCCATATCATCTCTAGAATCTGTCCTCTTGTTCCCACCCTGCCACCAACCCCTCAGTTTCGGACTGCATTCTCTCTTGCATTTGATGGATAGTTTGCCCATCTTCTGTTTTCTTCATCTTGCCACGTGACTTTTCTTTTTTACTCCTTACAGAAATTTCAATGTACGTAAATAAGCAAATATATAATATAGTCACACAGTTAAAGTCTTTTATGTATATGCAAGCATATATATACTTAAAATATGCATAACTTTAACAATTAATGTTATATATACTATTTGTGTTCCTATCAACATATATAGATCTGTCTTCTATTTTAATGATTTTATGGTATTCAGATATGGCTGTACATAATTTATTTGACCAGACCTTTATTGGTGGGCTTTTTTGCTGCTTTCCAGTTTTTATTATTACAAATTAATAGTTAGTGTAATTTTCATCATATTACCTTTTTCAATCATAAATCTAACTGACTTAATCCCTTATTAAAAACTCTTGATGGCTTCCCATTACCTATTGGAAAAAGCCCACATTCTTCTATGGTACAAGATGCTACTTGTGAAATAGTCTCTCCCTGCCTGTGCAGGCTCATCTCCTCTCTGCATTTCTCTGAGCTGTATTTTGTGCTCTACTCAGCTCTTTTGCCGTTTTCTAATCATGACTGAGCTGTTCCTTCTGCCTGGAATTCCTTTCCTTCCAAAGTTCCCACCCATCCTGCAAAGGTCTGTGTCTGAACCGTGCAAGCACAGTTGCCAGGCACCTCAAAACCTTGCTATTGGAAGTGTGGGAATGTTAGAAATTCAGGATCTCAGTCCCTACTTCAGAGCTATTCAGTTTGAATTTGCATTATAATCAGATCTCCAGGTGATTCCTGTGCATATTTAAAGGTTTGGGAAACAGTAGGTAGTACATTATTAAACCTAGCATCTCTCTTCTATTGCATTAATCCCACTGTTGAAATTACTTGCTCACACCTCTCTTCCTTACCAATTGAGTTTAAGGGCAGCGGCTGTGTCTTACCTGGCTTTCTCTAGCACAGTACCTGGTACAGAGTGTCTAATTAGGTTGATTAAGTTGAAATTCCTCTGTAATATTCTTTATATTGTACTGATGCTTAATGGATTTTCCATGTGCGATAAGAAAAATTCATTTAACAAATACCACATCTAATGACATTACTTGGATATCACATTACCATGTCAGTGGTTCTCAGCCTGGGCTCAGGTCAGAATCACCAAGGGAACTTGTGCAAAAACAGATACCCTGACTTTTAGAACCGGAGCTTCATTTGTATTTTGAAGGAAAACAATTAATAGATAAAGCATACGAGTGTTCTCGCTGGATTCTCTGAAAGTGTTGAGCTTCATGAAGGCAGATCCACAGATGCTTACTGGGGTCAGTATGATCAGCCCCTCTGTACACATCTCCACATAGAGCATTTCATGTTTAGGCTTGGTTGGTACACGATGCAAAAGTCAAACCTTTCCTTTGAAACTTTTAATTTATAATTTTCAATTCTATTAGAACAAACATGTATTTTGAAAGTAATGAACTAGTAAACAAGATTATGAAAATCCATCTGATTGCTGCTGTTTTTTGGTATGGTCAGGTACTTACAGTTTCATCGGAAATCCCTAAAAGAATTCAGAGTGCCTTAAAAAATGCAGAAGAATCGAAGCAATTCCTTAATCAGTTTATGGAGCAAGAAACTCATCTCTTCAGTTGCATTAGCAGCCATTTGCTGACCGCACAGCCTTGGATGGAAGATCTTGGGGCCATGATTAACCAAATTGAAGAGATTGAACGGCATCTTGCTTACCTTAAATGGATTTCACAAATTGAAGAACTAAGGTAAAAAGGGCCTTTTTGTTCTCATAATTATTATTTTCCTTTGAGGCTCTGTCTTAGAGTTCATGCATGCCATTAAATAATTGAGTTAATTAAGGATTATAATAATGTAATTTTACCAGTTGTTATGAAAATAGCATTATGATAATGATTCTTTTCCTTTATTGCAAATGAACATAAACTTTTCAGGGAGCTTAATTTGCATGTCAAAGATAGTGATCTAAGTAGAAATTTTAAGTCTTATAGTAGTACTGTGAACACATGATGAAAAATGATTATTTATAATGTCAATAAGACAACCCCTCAGTGTGGTAATATTCTTCTTAATTTTACTTTTACTTTACTTTTTAGTCACTTAATGAAATGGATTGCTTTCTCTATAATTAGAATTTTTTTCAGTGAGAATCATCTAATAAGAGCTATCTTATGCATATACTTAGATGGTAGCAGTTCTGCTTCTTGTGGGCACGGAAAAAAGTTCTTTTTGAATTGAGTACATATCACTAGTAAGTTAATTGTGAATGTCTGATGTTGCCTTGCAAACAAGCTAAATGAACATTTCTGTGTAGATTGGCAGATTATTTGGTTTCATGAGATAGTTCCCCAGCCCCTCCAACCTATAGTGTTCCAGCCTTGCTTTGTTTTAACTACTCTTGTTTCAAAGCCATCAGCAACCATTAATGTGTCTGGAAGCCTTGATGGAGAAAAGTCATTCATGAGTCTTAATGCCCCATTTAAAATCATAGTTAATATATTTTATGTTATGTCTTCCAAAGAGTAAGGCAGTATCACTTTCTCCTGCATATGTTTCCTGAGGTTGTAAAGAATTTTACATATCAGAACAGTATGAAAATCTTTTTTTTTGCATGTCAGTTTTAACATTTATGGACAAAGTGATATGCCTACGATTAGCTTATTGTTACTAATGATTCCAAAAATTGACTTAAGCTTTTTAGGGCCTTTCCTTCTTTGTTTAGGTAAATTATATGCAGTGAAGGAATTTTAAACCTTGTGTTATTTTACTTCATTTTTCCTCACCCCTCTGAAAGAAAACACCAATAATGGGCAGTATTAATGGCTTTATGAGGTAAAATAAGTCGTTAAAAGCCTCACTTTGGTAGTAGCCAAAGTAATAGGCTAAGTTAATTAAAATGAGACTATGGTTATGGATAACCTTTTTCTGATGTTGGAATTGTTGAAAAGAGAAGTATGTCTGCGGAATCATTAGAAATAGGAATCGCTTTTTAATAATGTGTTCCTTCCCTTAGGTCTTTTGTGATACAACTCTATTTCCAGCTTTCTTCTGGGCTTCTGAGATTTTCCTTATCTCCTAATTTCCTTGTAATGACTTGCTTTTTTTTTTTATTCTGTAGCACTTTCTCTTTTCTGAAAAGAAGTTGCTTCTTCTTTATAGAACTAGTCTCTTCATGTTTACTCTGTTTCTTGAGTTACAGTACAGCATTATCTCTGCGAATGCACTCTGTAACCCTGGCTTTTCCTGTGCTCTCAGTGTCATTCACACTTCAGTTGTGTGGAGATCTAGTCCACTGTACCCTAGAAAGTAGTACCCCATACTCTGTGGCTGCTGGTACATTTTAAGTTATTTTGTAACATTTGTACATTGCCCCAACAAGTTAGTCTTTTGTTTAGCATTATGCCCACTTAGTTTGGCTTCATATTGCTTTGAAGTGGGAAACCGTGAGACGTGTTTAGGTAATTCGCCATCACGCGTAGGGAACCTGACCTAGGCACCCTCACTTGCGCCAGCTGACCCTCTGTGCGAGCCCAGAAAGAACTCTCAGTGCCTGAGCTGTGGAAGTGGTGGATTTGTTGACACCCACTGGGGAAAGAGTGGTTGCAAGTCTCATAATAGATGTTAAAGACAAAAGCTGTTGGAAATCTCAAAAATAATTAGAAAGGAAGAAGAAATTTAGCATGAGAGCATGAGAGTAAGGGATAACCAAAAGGGCTGACAGAAATGAATATCACAAATGGGCGCTTAGCCTTCTTGTTGAGGCCTGAAACAGTGACAGTGAAAAACACAAGTGGCTTGTGGAAGAAGGAGAGCAAAAATACCAGTGCAAAGTGGAGCTCTGCAGGGTGGGAATGCACATTCCTGTTCCCGAGGAGAGTGCTGTGCCCACCCCAGCACTTTAGCTGAAGGAGCACACTGGACAAGGGAGCGTCCCAGCCCATCCGTCCTCTCCCAGTGCCTCCACCGAGCCCCCAGGTGGGGGGGAGAGAAGAGGGGCGTGTGTCTGGGCTGCCTGGAGCAGAACACGCACTTCTGATTTCCTGCAGGGGGGTGATCGCCCAACTGAGATTATTGAAAAGGTTACTTTTTGTTCCTTACTCTTAGATGGCTTAAAATAGGGACTGTGGTATTTTTGTCAGAAGAAACATTGCATTTTTAAGGAAAATGTTTTGTTTTATAAAGCCCAGCATGTAAAATGGTAGCTCATGTGTTGAATTTGTCTTGAAGACATGTTTTATTTGGCTTGTTTTTAAGAATTTGGTTAATTGGTTTGCTTTTACATGAAAATCTTGATGTTTGGCTTCTCTAGAAAAATTTTAAGATTGACCAAATTGGACCCACACTCCAACGTGGCAGCAGGTTGGCTGGAGCCTTAGGGGTATGGGCTTTCCAGTTTGTCCTAGGCCTCACCCACTTCGCTTTTGAAATTTACTTTACCCATCAGGCCTTTGTAGGCCTTTGAGTTTGCTACCCTTACTGTAAAGTTTTCCTTAAATTTTGTGTGGAACTTGACTAACAGTAACTTGAAAGGACTGGCCTCTGGGGTGCCACCTTCTTAGGTTTCCTCTGATCAAATTCAGCCAGGCAAAATAGCTAAACATTTGTGAAGACTATCATATTTGACTTATGCTACCAACATTATTCACTGGACTGAGACACTAAAGACTTCTGTAAAAGGCAGATTATCAGGAATGAATGGGGCCTGAGGGAATGGGACACAGGACAAGCCTGTTCTCGGGAATAGTGGGAAGAGAAAGGTGAAGGGAAGTGTTCTAAACATGGGCCAATGTTCTTCAGAAGAATGCTGAATTTGAGGATTCCATCCTCCCAAGAGACTTGGGTATCAGGTAAAAAGTCACTTCATGGCAGTGCTTCCTTCTTCTTTGGGTATAACTTTCTATGAACAAGGAAGGCGAAGCAGCTTTTCTGCACTTGGAATTATTCTGAACAAAATGTCTTTTAGGTTTTTTTTGCCTTGTTTTACAGTGACAACATTCAGCAATATCTGATGACCAGTAATGTTCCAGAGGCAGCCTCTACTCTGGTGTCAATGGCAGAGCTTGACATCAAGCTTCAGGAATCATCTTGTACTCATCTTCTTGGTTTCATGAGAGCCACTGTTAAATTCTGGCATAAGATTCTCAAGGATAAGCTTACAAGGTAAGTAAGGAATTTACCCATAGTTCATGCTCATAATGGCTTTCAGGGGGTATGTGGTGATCTCTGTATTTTACTGAAACATGTGTTAACTTTTCTTTGCAGTGATTTTGAGGACATTTTAGCACAGCTTCACTGGCCATTCATCACACCCCCTCAGTCTCAAACTGTTAATTTCAATCGACCAGCCAGTGCCCCTGAGATATACAATAACCTGGAGACTCTGTTTTGTCAGCTTCTGAAACTGCAAACCTCGTATCTTTGTTGGAGTTAAAACTTATTAAATTTCTCTAGGATGGATTTGTGGCTAGAGAGTAAAACTTTTTGAAAAGTGGCCAAGAAGCCAAACAGGAATACTGGGTTTGGGCTTGATCTGTATACGCCCATGGAGTGGTGGGTTGTTCTCTTTCAAAGTGAATTGCATGTGGGTGGGAGGGTGTGGGTCAGTCTGAAGTACATGACTGACCCTAGCTTACATCATATACAGGTCTCTTGGGACAACAGAAAAAAAATGGGCAATCAGGAGGAAACCTTAGTAACATAGTGTTATTAAAATGATTACATGAATGTGTTTCCTTATTTACTATTTATTTTAGGAAAGACATAAAGATTAATTCTAACATTTTTTGTTCACTTTTTACTGAATCATATGTTATGGAAAGTTATCTGTATTATTAATTTTAGTATATTTGTTGGAAAAACTGTGTATATATATGTGTGTGTATTCGTGCATGTATGTGTGTAAACAGACACACACACAATTTTTCCTTTTTCCTTGACTTGACTATATCAGAGATGAATTACTTACTGAGCCAAAACAACTTCCAGAAAAATACTCTCTTCCTGCATCCCCTTCTGTCATTCTGCCCATCCAGATTATGCTGACTCCCCTTCAGAAGCGGTTCAGGTATCACTTCAGAGGGAACCGACAGACGAATGTTATAAGCAAGGTGTGCTTTGCAATCCCATGTCCTTGATTTTTATTAATGGACAATGTTAAGGGCTTCTATACTTTTGCTAGTTTAAGTTAAAATCTGATTCTATTCACATTTCTGTTTTTTCTCTAAAGAGCTGAATTCTTACTTTGTCACTGCCTTTTATAACTGTGTTTCGGGACTTGTGTTAATGTGCTGTAGGAACCTGCTTACTCATTAGCACATCACCTGACCAGTGTCTCAAGTTTCCCCTTGGGTGTGCTGTGGTGCTTTTTACACCTGGATCCACACGTTTCACTGTGCAAATTGCTCGGTTTATAAATAAATTGGTTTATAAATACATCAGAGAAGTAAAGGTGAAAAGATAGAGCATTAGCTTTTGAATAGAGGTGCTGATGATAAAATGATTTGTAGCTGTGCAAGAGAGTATGGGACTAGATGATGGGAATGGCTTTGAGGAGTTAACACCAACATTTTAGTTGTGGGACTATGCCCATGTATATTGGACATATTACTGAGATTTTTCATTAATTTTATCTGGAAAACAATCATAGGCACTTACTTTCAATGAAATTTGAATTTGAGAATTATTTAGCATTATTTGTTGCTTGAGGGTCGATATTACTTTGTTTGACCTTGAGTTCTGCTACATCTAAGGCAGGGCAGAGTAGCAGAGGGGTTCAGTAAGTGTTTTGAATTAAATGTTATCACACCAGAATTATACCAGGCACTGCATGTGTCATAAGCAAATTAGTTTATAGGCTTTATAGAATTTTAAAGGAATTCAGGGATAGGCAGTTGTATTTGCATGGGGAGGAGTAGAGTGGCAGTGGATCTCAGGTTCTTAAATTCAGCTTCTTTTTTTGCACTTTATGAGTCTCCTCCTTTCTTGGACAGGGTGTTGGTGGGAGGAAGAGAACCAGTTAGTAAGGAAGAGGTGAGACAAAGCAATAAATATAAAGCTGCAGAGAGGCAGTAGTAAAGTGGGAAAATGTGAGTTATGTTGGCAGCACTGTGTCATCAAGCCCAAACTGCAGCACCTGAGATTAGATATTGCCTCTTAACTCAATTTTGCATTCCTAGCATCTAGCACACAACAGAGATTTACAGTTCAGCAAATGTTTTTGAATCCCTGTCCAACAAAACTTGCAAGGTTTGTAGAACCATCTCTAGGGACAATGTAAAAAGTTGCATACTTACCTTTCCTTAATCATACCTATTTTAAGGCATGTGTATTTTCTGTAATGCAGACCAGCCAAAGTTTTTTCTTAATTTATCTTTTGAAAAGAAAAAGCATAAAGAAAGTCAAGTTTAAAACTATTTTGGAATGTTACTTAAAAAAAAGTTCAAAGGTAAAACAGCAGCAGACTCACATAACCCAAGAATGGACTAACAGTTACCAAAGGGAAAGGGACTGGGGACGGTGGGTGGGAAGGGAGGGATAAGGGGATTAAAGGGCATTATGATCAGCACACATAGTATAGGGGGGACATGGGGAAGGCAGTGTAGCACAGAGAAGACAAGTAGTGACTCTACAGCATCTTACTACGCTGATGGACAGTGACTATAATGGAGTATGTGGTGGGGACTTGATAATAGGGGGAATGTAGTAGCCACAGTGTTGCTCATGTGAAACCTGAGCATAAGATTGTATATCAATGATACCTTAATAAAAAAAAAGTTCAAAGGCTATCAGCTCTTTGTAACACTCATCATTTTACGTATTTCTGAAGTGTTAGGTTTTAAATATATATGGCATTGTAAATTTATGCATACTGACTTAAGCCACATTATTGGAATTTGTTGGGAGGACATTGAGAAACATTTGATTACTAAGCCTTGCATGAGTTTAAAGTCAGAGTAAATTGTGCTCTTACATCTAGGGATTTTCTTTCTTTTTTTTTAAATTTTTTTATTAAGATATGATTGATATACACTCTTATGAAGGTTTCACATGAAAAAACAATGTGGTTACTACATTTACCCATATTATCAAGTCCCCACCCATACCACAGTGTAGTCACTGTCCATCAGTGCAGCAAGTTGCCAGAGATACACTATGTGCCTTTTCTGTGCTACACTGTTCTCTCCATACATCTAGGGATTTTCAACTAATTTTTGTAAGTGCTATGTGGATGCAATTAAATAAAGCCATTCAATTGTGACTTTCTTGTGGAATGCCTTAAGAATTCCAACTATTTTACCTCCCTCCTTCCTTAGCCTGAATGGTATTTGGCTCAGGTACTTATGTGGATTGGGAACCACACTCAGTTTCTGGAAGAGAAGATTCAGCCAATACTGGACAAAGTAGGCTCTTCAGTAAATGCAAGGGTAAGATACTCAGTCCTGAGCACTCCAGGCATCGAGTTGAGCCAGGTGTGTCCCTGAATACCTTGTTTACATTACCCTGTGCTTCTCTGTTTCTTTCAGCTTGAGTTTTCTCGGGGCCTTATGATGCTGGTTCTTGAGAAGTTAGCTGCTGATATTCCTTGTCTGCTCTATGATGACAATCTCTTCTGTCATTTGGTGGATGAGGTGCTCTTGTTTGAAAGGGAGCTGCATAGTGTTCACGGCTATCCTGGCACTTTTGCTAATTGCATGCATATTCTGTCAGAGGAAACCTGTTTTCAGAGATGGTTGACTGTGGAGAGAAAATGTAAGTGCTCATGTTACCTAGGGTGGGGAGAGATGTCTTTTTGTGTTTCTTAATTTTTGGTGTTTTTTTCCTCCAGTTCTGGCGCAATCTCAAAAGGGCTGTGCCTCTTCCCTGATAGTTTCAGCAGAAATACAAGATGGCCTCTCACATGTCCATAACAATCACTAGTGTGGCCATACCCAATCCCTTCTAATGGACATTTAGGAGATTTTTAATCTTTTACTAATTGTCTGCAACATCTGAAGGTTAAATTATGATCAGTTTATTCTGGTTAAGAATGTTGAATATGTTTTAGAAAGATTTCCATCAAAAGACAGAAAGAGTAATACTAATTCTACCAAAAGTACCACTGTAAAAACTACATTTTAATTCTCTTAACTCTTACATTTCTGCTCAGTTTACTATAACTCTCAATCTGTCTAGACCAAAACAACTACTTAAAGAAGTTAGCCATCAGGGAAATGCAAATCAAAATCACAATGGCATACCATTTCATGAAAACTAGAAAGGCTACAATAAAAAAGATAATAACAACTATTAGTGTGGATGTGGAGAAAGTTAAATCCTCACACACAACTAGCAGGAATATAATATGGTGCAATCTCTGTGCAAAATAGTCTGGTGGGTCCTCAAATAGTTAAACATAGAATTATCCTATGATCCAGCAGTTCTCCCAGGAGTAGACCCAAAAGACATAAAGACATGTGTCTGTGCAAAAACTTGTACACATATGTTCATAGCAGTATTATTCATAACAGACAAAAAGTGGAAACAACCCAAATTTCCATCAACTGATGAATGGATAATTAAAATGTAGAATGTCCGTATAGTGGAATATTATTCATCAACAAAAAAAATTAAATACTGATATGTGTTACAAGATGGATGAATTCAGAACACATTATACTCAGTGAAAGAAGCCAGTCATAAAGGTCCACAAGTTGTATGATTGCAATTATATGAAAAGTACAGAACAGGCAAATCAATAGACAGAAAGATCCCTGTATAAATGTATACATTTTTCTTGGTCAGTTTCTTACCACATTGCCTTCAGAGGTCATCTTATTTTCTTTTCTCCCCATCAAACTCAGTTTTTCCTAGAATTGAGCTCTGTGGGTTTCTAGAGTGGAGTATTCAAGCCAATGGAGTATATATAGCTAACTGCTTTTATAGATTTTTACATACAGTATTTCTACTCCTGATAGGATCATTTTGGATATAACTTGTCTAGTCAATATAACTGTTTCGAAGATTTTGGTTGGTGTGGTGGGGGGAAACTTTCAATCTTAAAATACAGTATGCTAAATGTAGTACAGATAGTAGAAAGTTACACATTCATTTTCTATAGAAAAGTCATTATCCCTAAAAAATTGTGAGTTGAAAAATCACGAATGACTGTAACTGTGTAATTGACATATCCTTTTTTCTGCATGTCAGTTGCTCTTCAAAAAATGGACTCAATGCTTTCATCAGAAACTGCCTGGATATCCCAGTATAAGGACATCACTGATGTGGATGAAATGAAAGTTCCAGACTGTGCAGAAACTTTTATGACACTACTCTTGGTTATAACTGGTAAGTATAAGTCTTTTAAGATAAAACTTTGTTTACTGACTCTTCACATGGTACTAATTCAACAAAGTTAGTATTATCTAGTGGTTATTGTAATATCTTCAAATTGAGTTTCTGTTTGCCAGAACTCTAGCACAATATTCTACCTTTCTGATTTTTAATAATTTAAGTCAGATCTTAAACATTGGAGGGGAAAATTCCTGAATTGTTACATAAAACCAATTAAATTAGAATTTTATTACCTGAATTCTCTTTCCATTCAGCATAACTGTCTTCATATGTAATTTTCTCACCTGGCTTTTTTAACAAATTGAGGCATAATTTTTATACAGTGAAATACATAGCTCTTAAGTATAGTTCAGTGCGTTTTGACAAATACATATACTTGTGAAATCCATATCCTTAGAAAGTTTAAAAGTAGATCCATACTTGACTCAGTTGAGTTTTGACAAAGGCGCCCAATGATGTTAGTAGGGAAGACTGTAACTGTCATGGACAGTACCAGATACACTTCATATGTCTTGCTAACTTTCTCCACAGACAGGTATAAAAGTCTTCCCACAGCATCCCGAAAGCTGCAGTTCCTGGAGTTACAGAAGGACTTGGTAGATGATTTTAGGATACGGCTAACTCAGGTGATGAAAGAAGAGACTAGAGCTTCCCTTGGCTTCCGATACTGTGCAATTCTTAATGCCGTGAACTATATCTCAGCAGTACTAGCAGACTGGGCTGACAATGTGGTAAGTTAATGTGGTTTTATATTATATAATATATAGTAGTTTGAACAATTTTACCTTTTGAAATGCTGAATTTATAGCAAGCCAAAATATGCAGCATACAGAAAAGCAGGCCAAACTTAGGAGGTGTGATTAAAGTACATCTTTCTCAGTCCAGTCTCAAATGGTTAGATAATCCTGATACTTTAATCATCGGAAAAGAAAGCCAATTTTTCACAGATTAATAATCACTGTTCTAAGATAATCTGTATGGATACAAAATTTAGCTTGGGTTTTCACTGGGTTTGTCCTACAAAATAGGTTTTATGACAAAGAGCACTAATAGAATTAAGATAACCATAAAACAATGAAATATACATTAAACAGTGAAAAAACAACTATACTGAGGATAAGGAATATGAAGATACATTATAAAAAGTATCATATAATTGGGTCATGAGACAGGAAAGTAAAACAGTAAAACAATGATAATTTTGACTAAAAACTTAAAATACCACTCTAAAAATGTGATTGGTAAAATGGGAATAGAAAAATTACAGAGTAAATAATTAGAATGATTAACTGGGACTTGGTTGTAAGTTCACAGTATATTAAGGAAAACATAATTTTTTAGTGTGTCCCAATGAGTCACAAAGATGCACAGGGGATATTAAAATTTCCATACATTGTCAAATCTTAATGCAATAAAGACAACAAAAAAAGCAGAAGTGAAATATAATCAAACACAGGCATTTAAAAATATTCAGTGCCTGTGTGAGGGCATTAGGGTTAGTCTAGAAAACATGATAAGAATAATCTTTTAAATTATGAATTTATGACAAAAAATTATGACTGCTAGTGCATTATTTAGAAGAAAATATATTCCTTTTTACTATGAAAGAAAAAAACAAGTCTTTATCTTAATATAGGATAATAAGACAAAAACATAGGATACAAAAAATATATATACTAATAACAGATAAACAAGATAAAAATCTAATACGATTATAGTTTATTCTAACTTGGACTCTTTGGGGGACCTGGTGATTATTTAAAATCCTTTTTCTACAAAAGTGTTAACTGAAATCTGTGTGCATAATAAAATTCTGCTGAGCAAGGAAAATAAGACAAAATAATTATTTCATAAAATGAATATAATGTAGAGTGTAAATGATGAGTGCATTTGTTTGTATGAAGTCACATAATCAGAATACATTCATTCATTGTGTACTCTTACATGTTATGTTCCTAATTTCAGTAAGTACTTTATTCAGTCAGTTCCCACACTGCTCCATTTTCTGCTAAGCTTTTTCATGAAATAAATTGTCATTCTTGATTCTTGTGCCAGATGATCTAATGAGACACTCATTCAGGGCCAGATTTTTAGCTTCAGTGAAAGATTTGTGAAACATCATTAACTACTTTAATTGGCATAGTAGTCTGTTAACAAAGACAGATTGGCCATTTTCCCTATCCTTAGGAAATTTATAATCTGGTGCTGAATTAACTGGGTCCTTCTGTCAACAGGAAAGTAACCAAATTTTAGAATTGTCTCTTCAAATCATGAATGAATTCCGTGTTCTAGTATGTTATTATGGTATAAATTCTATTTAACATCAAAAGTCATTTCATCATCTTCACAGTCTTTCAGCCTGTGGGTGCTTTAAATAAAAAACATTAAGTTGCTTACACAGTTAGAGCAAGAAGAAGGAAGAGTGGACAGAGTTCACCTTCCATTGACTGTTGTGCCAACCCTGAATATCGAGCTGTTCTGAATTAGGAGTTTCCAGTTGTGGATGACAGAAATCCAATTCATGCTGGCCTAAATCGGGGAGTAGAGTGGAGTGAGAAGGTGAGGAATGTGTGTAACTGAAAGGATTAGGCAAGGCTGCTCTAAAATTATTTGTTTCTGGCTTTCTTCTCAGGTGGACTCTGTAAGTGTGGCCATAGGTGCCTCCAGGCTCACATGGTCCATGAGCGCAATCTCAAAAGGGCTGTGCCTCTTCCCTGATAGTTTCAGCAGAAATAGAAGGTGGCCTCTCACATGTCCATAACAATCACTAGTGTGGCCATACCCAATCCCCTGTTAATGGACATTTAGGAGATTTTTAATCTTTTACTAATTGTCTGCAACATCTGAAGGTTAAATTATGATCAGTTTATTCTGGTTAAGAATGTTGAATATGTTTTAGAAAGATTTCCATCAAAAGACAGAAAGAGTAATACTAATTCTACCAAAAGTACCACTGTAAAAACTACATTTTAATTCTCTTAACTCTTACATTTCTGCTCAGTTTACTATAACTCTCAATCTGTCTAGACCAAAAAACTACTTAAAGAAGTTAGCCATCAGGGAAATGCAAATCAAAATCACAATGGAATACCATTTCATAAAAACTAGAAAGGCTACAATAAAAAAGATAATAACAACTATTAGTGTGGATGTGGAGAAAGTTAAATCCTCACACACAACTAGCAGGAATATAATATGGTGCAATCTCTGTGCAAAATAGTCTGGTGGGTCCACAAATAGTTAAACATAGAATTATCCTATGATCCAGCAGTTCTCCCAGGAGTAGACCCAAAAGACATAAAGACATGTGTCTGTGCAAAAACTTGTACACATATGTTCATAGCAGTATTATTCATAACAGACAAAAAGTGGAAACAACCCAAATTTCCATCAACTGATGAATGGATAATTAAAATGTAGAATGTCCGTATAGTGGAATATTATTCATCAACAAAAAAAA